GCTACCATTTTTAATATAAAATTAGATTATACTTTTTTTTAAATTTTATTTACGAAAGTCTTTAAAAATTAATCTATTGATTTACATGGCGAATATATTTAACCCCTTGGGGACGGGTGATTCAGAAAAGCATTCGTACAAAATCAGAATCAAGTTGCAATTAAATAAAAAACGGTAACTTAAATGTAGTCGTTACTAATTTCACAGACTTACTTTGCTTTTATTTTAATTATTGTTAGTTTAATCATATATATAATCAATGTTAATTCAAAGTGTAACTAAATAGTTTTATTTTGAACAAAGTAATGGTGAATTAAATAAATCAAAAAATTATAACTCCGCCTACAAATAAACTGCTAAAGAAATACTTTGATTACCAGTTTTATCTTCTTACCCTGATTGATACGGTTTTTTGCTGTCACGTATTTGTGACAGTCGGCGCGAAAGGGTTAACAGTGCGTATCTCATAATCATTTGTTTACTCGAGGCCTTTAGGCCCAGGGGGTGGCTGTTACCTATCCATGCTGGGATACTCTGTCTTGTTGTAGTTTTAATTATGAATTAAAAGAAAAGATTGGCTGACAGAATCATAAAATGCATGCTAGAAAATAATTGGTTATTGCAGAGATGCCAACTGCTCCGGGCACACCAAAATAATTAAAAAGCGGTTAATAACTACAAAGTAAATTTTGCAAATATTTGACTATTTTTGCTTGCTTTTTAGAAGGCATAGCATTGCATTATTACTGTAAAGTGGTGAATTATATAAGCAAACGAATTATTTCGAAATAGTGGTAGAAAAAAATCGACTAAATTGAATTTATCAAACCAAGAATCACGATTGATAAACTACTACTGTAAAATATATATTTGCTGTCCGGAGCAAGTTGGCATCTCTGTTATTGTGCTACAATTGCAGCACCAAAATGCTGCGGCTGCAGTGCCACCAATTATTAGGGTGTGATGATTAAAATCGACCACAGTGCCAATGAGCGTGATTGCAGCGTATAATACTATCAATTAAAATCAATCACAGCGCCATGGGTATGTACTGATAAAATAATGAAGTTATTTGACTCTGAGGCAAGCCTTTTTTTTAAAAATCAATTAGAGCAAAATTTATTTGAGAGAATTGCATAACTTGTACAAAAGTGAACAATGCGGTTTAGTTTTTGAGCATTTTAGCATCAAATATTTTGTTGTAATTTTTAAAAGCCAATGTGCCATTTTCGGAACAGGTCTGTTTTTTTAAAAGATATTAAAGACTGGAAAACTTTATACTTTCATTCTTAGCATTTGTATTGGAGATTTTGAACATTCCTATCAATCAAAATACATTAATTATATAATAAAATCTATATTTGTTTCTAAACTCAAGCGGATTTGTTATGCTTTGAAACCAATTCGATTGTTAACTGAAGAACATTTTTATTTGATTCATGTGTGCCAACTTGCTACCTCTCTTTATATAAAGGCACATTTCCCATTACTGCGAAATGGAGTCCGGCAAGTAAACGGCTTAACAAAGTAAGATTTTAATCAAGTTAAAAGCTAACGAAATATTTAATCTTTAGATTTCACTGTTATTCAATCGGGTCACGTAAAAATACGTTTTTGAAATTTCTGTGATTCATGCAAGAGATTTATAGATAGCAAAACTACTTCGTTTCCGCTCTGTTTTTTGAAAAAATTATCCTTTCGTGATTACCACAAACATAAATGATTCAGTTATATTTGCAATCAGCACTACAATTTAAATTATTACAGGTTTAAATTGAAGTTATATCTATAATGACAAATTTGCTCCAACTTTTAAGAAATCTTATCTATCATTTTTTTTAAAATTATAATCTTTAATAGTTGTAATACAATTTTTGGAAAATTGGCAGAAAATATTCATAGTTCTCCTACTACTATTTTATCGGAAATTGCGATCACTGATCGATATGTCACAGTAGCTGACTCAAAAGGCTTATCTTCCCACTGTTTGAAATGGTAGCTAAATAGCAATTAAAATAATATTAATTGTTTAATTTGCAAAAAACGAAGAAACTATATTACCTGTTTCGCAGAACACTGCAAAATCAAACTTTTAAATTAAAACTGTTAATGTTTAAATTTACAACTTTATATTAGAAAAACTTCCTGTTGACACGAGTGAAAATGAAACAGATCTACTACTTAGTCAAAAAATGTAAACACAAGTATGAAATTTTTCTTTTATTCGAGATTTCAACATTTCTTTCACATGAAGTGAATTTTATAACTATTATTATACTACAATTAATTTCATATGTAAATATGTATTTTAAAATGAAGGAAAAGAAGTGATAGTCAAGGATAATCATGTTTTCTCTATCCCATTTTTATCTTTTCCGGATAAGTAGCAGTCCTGATCGTAAGCTTATTACAATATCCAGTGATTGATATGTAAATGCCAATATCGCGACATTTTGCTATCCGTTAGACTAATTGATAGATGGTTCATTGGAACTTTAATGTTTTGTAATTTAATATTTTCAGGCTGTTGCAATTAACCAGGGACCCCATCGGGAGGCGACTTACTTTTTTTTTTCGGAATAAATTTAGCTTTTCCATACGACGCATTCGAAATCTTAATTCTCAACATATTGAAAGTAGCTACAATCAGAAAAAAATAAAGTTTCAAGAGTTTTTTTTCCCTCAGTAGAACGGTCTAAAGTTTACGTTCCTTGGTAGTATTTTTGAATTTTATGTTTTCATGTGTTGTAGGTGTCAGTGATAAATCATATTTAAAGAAAAGTATTGACAAAGTTATTTCCTGTTTTTTCTGCTGTTGCAGGAACTATTATAATTTGTTGTTGTTGTTGTAGTAGGCCATTTAAGGCAAGGGATGTGATTGTTATTGTTTTCCAGTGGCGCCATCTATGGCCAAGAATCTGACTGCTACCACACCCATTCGTCACTTCCGTTTATACGGCAGACCAACTCATTCCTCCACACTTCGTAATTTTGACCTGAACCAGGGAACGATCAATCCCTAATTCTGTATCCCCAGAGGTATAATTTGTTATGGGAACATGGAAGACTTTGTGACCCGACAGATTTAACATGCATCAGTCAACATTTACTGCACAGGGAGTCTTCTGCCGGCTGGATTCGAATACTCTTTCTCACTATCGTGAGTCTAGCACCCTGTCAGTCAAGCTATCCCAGACACTATTATAATTTACCCCAATCAAATAAAACTTAATGAGCATGTACAGGTAATGGACAATGAAAACGATTCTGTACTAACTCTATCTAAACAATCTTTCTTTCAGCAGAAAGTGTTTTCAGGCGATTTTACATGGCAAAACTGTTGTCACAATTTGAAAGACCATGCGCAAAGCTTTTAGAAATGGTGTTTTGTTTTACCAATGCAGAATTTACGTCAAACAAAATAAATTTCTCGTTACTTCGACCCCAAATGTTTAAGAAGAAAAGAACTGCAGTATTTTGTTTCTGTTTTATATATTTTTTTATCTTTAATGAGACTAACATTCTGAATTATTAATATATAGAATTTAAGAAAAATCTTTTGAAAGTACATTAACTGCATGGACTTCACAGAAGAACTTGTCGTCGCTTTGAAACTAAACCGTTGTAACTCAAAAAAGTCGAAAAATGAGATTTTTGGGTCATTTTGTGTAAAAAAAGTCACCCTTTTAGAAAAACAACCTGTTATCTTTATAGTTCCATAAAGTTAATGTAGAGAGCAGATAAATCGTCATCGCATTGCCGCGATTAGCATTATAGCATAAAGTTTGAAATCGCTCTCTTGAAAAACTTGCTTTTTTGAGTTACCATGGTTTAGTTTCAAAACGACGTTATCACAACAAACTACGCTAATTTACATAACATATATTTTTCAAAAGTCAATCAGTGTTATGAAAAAAAAAGTCAAAATATATTTTTAAATTTTTTTTGAACTTGAAAAAATGTTAATCGTTAACAGATCAAATTATTAAAAAATGATTTACTTTATAAAAACAAAAGCATAAAGAGTGTTTTGACCCCTATTGCAATTTTAACGTTTCACAAGACTGAGATAGTTATACACCTTTCAATCGTCTGAACTGGAATTTCCTGTCATTACAAAGCCATTTCATCGAAAATTCGATAAGCTTTATGATATTTAGCAACCATTTTGATTACATGTATTGTGGGGAAAAACATGGGTGATGAAAGAGTCATCTTTATTAACCAAAAACTCTTTACAATTTGTTCAGAGACCTTAGATAAGACAACCACGAGCCATCAAGGTTAAGAAGCGTATGGACCTCAGTTGTTACAATCCTCAGGCAAAAATCTACGGCATGCCATCTAGCACGAAAATATTTGAATTAACTAGTGAAAAGATATAAAAAGTTCCAAATTTTCTTCCAGATTTCGGTAAGTTACTTTTTAATCAGTAAAGCATTTGAGAAGTTTTACATTTACTTTCACGGAATACGCACTTTTGGGCCTAGTATAATAATTATAACATATTTGCTATCCGTTAGGTTTTTTTTATAATTAAAGAGTATCTTCATTAACTTTATTATTTTTTTAAAAATAATTTGATTAAGATAATTTGTATAAATGTTATTCCATTGCTATTTCTTCTGCAACCGCGTTTGTATCATTTTTCAGTTTTTTTTAAATACAAAATGATTTTATTTATGGTCAGGGCAGCAATTAAAAAAAAAAGAACTTCTACCCTTCTAATTTTAGTATAAATATAAAAAAAAAAAAAACAGTTTTCTACATATGTTATGACTGTAAAGAAAATCTTGGTAGTCATGTATACTTTAATCTTCCGGAAAACAAGCTATAATGATAAGATTTTCGTACCAGTTATTGTTCTATTTCTGTGTTGATCGATGTACGTAAACTTAGAACACGATTTATGGTTTAAACAGTTTAGTTAATTTCATTGCAGTCGATATTTCCTTTATGAGCATTTAAAATACCTTATTAAATTTTTTCTTATTTTTCAGGTGCACGACCAAAAATGGACACCCGATTTGTATTCCTGTTTTTGTGCTGTGGATATTTTGCTAGTGTGCAAAGTTTAGTTCAGTCTAGTCCCTTTAGTACCACATCAACAGCAAGCTATGTTCAAACTACAACACATGATCCAGTTAGACCAGATTTTCCACTGTATGAAATGTTGTTGAAAAATGCTACTAACAATTTAGTGAAAAGGACATTGCCTGCTTTTTACAAACTTTTAGAAAATATACATTTATCATCAAGTTGTTTATCGAGTCTTATGAAATACGCGATAGCTCTGAAGCAGCTAAAAGTATGGGCCATAACAAGTAAGCTTGTATTTTTTTATCCATCTTACATTCAAATCATTTACATATCATACAACCAATTTGGACAAATTTTGATACTTTTCATTATCATAATTTGTTTGTTACCTTTCTTCAATGTTTTTTTTTTTTTTTTGATGCCTTGCCTATTATGTTTGAACACTAAACTCCTAAATTCTATTTTCTGAAGTATCTACTATTGTTAATTTTAAGATTTCACTAAATTCTTTGAGGCCTTCTGGTGTTTCCAGGAATCGCCACCAAGACTACCTTTTTGAATCCTCTTTTTTTAATGAGAGGTCACGTGCGTGCACTTAGAGTCTACAGTATTCTCCGGAGTCCCCTGACCGGGGCGGGACGGGATTAAGCTTTGGGGTCATACAACCAATGCATAATGTTTAGGATTATATTATCAATGATTATAGTTTGATTATATTACCAGAAGAAAACGAGACGAAGCACATTTGCGGAATGCTTTCGGATTAAAGAATGAGAATGAAAATATTGTATTTCATATTTGAATGGAATGGTACACAATTGAAAATAGAAAATACCAAATTTAAAGTACAATTCAAGGAGAAACAACTGCCTTTAGGAATGTAGAATATTTATTTTAAGAAAATCTGGAATTACACAGCTTTGACAACTGGTGGGAAAGACAAAATAGGAGCAATTCAAGGAGAAACAACTGCCTTTAGGAATGTAGAATATTTATTTTAAGAAAATCTGGAATTTCACAGCTTTGACAACTGCTGGGAAAGACAAAATAGGAGCAGGAATGATTTTTAAAAAAATATAGTTACTTTATTGATAAATTTTCTTAAAATCTTTGCAACACAAGTTTTGTTGCGTTGAAAAACTTAATAATGGAAAGGTTCTGAGTAATATATAAATATTAAAATAAATGGTAATTAAGATAGCAAATTTATTTAATGAGATTTGAAGATTAAGAATCACAAAAAAAGTTCAATCTTATTTGTCTGTATTACTTACAGGCTACGAGGTTTTATTCACAATTATTATGGTGATGCGCAAAAAAAAAAAAAAAAAAAAGTACACCCTTTGAAATTATGATTGGATTTTGAAATACCAGGTTTCCAATCTTAATAGTTCGAGCACCTTACCTTAAATATGTTAATAAATGTGTGCAGACGATAGTTTAAGTTACAAAATCAGACACAAAAACGAGCTCCCTCTGAAAGAAACACAAATTTTTTTATGAATTTAGGTTTCACAGCCACTGACAATTATTCCATTTACCTATAGACCAATACTCCATACACTTTTTGACCCATATTCCATTTACCTATATTGGATTAATAATTCTAAAAGTATATTTGGAATGTGCTTACTATATTTTGTGAGTCGAAAAATCCTTCTAGAGAGCTTCTTTAGAATATCTTCTGTGAATTCAAAAGTGAAGAATTTTCTGGAAACGAAAGTAAAAGAAAAGATATTTCCTCTGTCCAAAATTAGTTTCTGCGTTTGAATACTTTTGTACCAATTAATGATGATTTTTAGATTTTATTTGAACATTTTTCAGAGATTTTAGGGTGATATGCTATCAAGCAACAAAATTCCCTTGACGAGCATTCCCTCCTTAAATCATAACTTTACTCTGTTGCAAGTTAAGAAAAAGCCATTATCCCTATGGAGAGAGCCTGTTTGCATCTAAGTGAACGTTGAATGGATTCAAAGCTCACAGCGCTAACGAATATCAACATAGCCAACTTTTGAAACGACGTTGCACGGCCTTCTTTTTGCTTACAAAAAATAGCATGAATTAAATTTCTGTCCGACGAGTTTAACTTTTAAAAGTTTTTATATTGTTTTCAAAGCGTAATTATATAATTCGATATCTACATAAAACGGAACTCTATGCAGTTGTGGATAATTACTTAAATCCTTTACCGCGAAGGTTTTTTTCTTAACTTACAACGGAGTGAAACTTTTTAAAAAAATCCAGGGTTTGCACGCTCATCTGCCACGCCCCCCATTTAATAAGTAGTCTTCCATCAGTAATCGCTTAGGAATATTTTTAGTTATCGTGAATACTCTAGAAGTATAATTCTCCTGAAACTGGAAAAATTACAACTGAAGTTATTTATGATAACTTATTATGATTTTTACGACAGATTTCTTTTTTCCTGTAATGATCTTCTGCCAGTATGAAAATCTTTTTGTTTCTCTTACTAACGCAGTTAACCAAGTCGCTGTCTTCGATGTCAGTTATTTCTCCAGAATATCGTTTATTAACGCACTTAACCAAGTCGCTGTCATCGTTATTTCTCCAGAATATCGTTTATTAATGCAGTTAACCAAGTTGCCGTCTTCAATGTCAGTTATTTCTTCAGAATACCGTTTATTAATGCAGTTAATTAAGTCGCTGTCTTCGATGTCAGTTATTTCACCAGAATATCGCATATTATTCAATAAAATGGCAATAAGTGATACTGTTATCACTTTCATAGTTGAAATAAGGTCTCATATTTTCGTAAACATTGAATTCTGCGTCTGTAGTCTATAGAAAAAAAACTCTCCTCGCCATTCATCTGAAGCAATGGTAGTGATTATGGTTACGAGGTTTGACTATTTCAAGGTCAATATTTAAGGCAGGTTTTGGCTCGAGTCGGCGAGTGGAAGGGAATCAGAGAAGAGAAAAGCTCCCCTCTCTGAAATGCGCTATTTCTTGTTTCCATAGCAGCAGACGGTCTTACATTTTGTGACGAAAGGAGTTTATTCTATAGACTTCTGTTTACTATTACTTTGCCTTTAAAAATGCACTGAATATCTTCTGGTTACCTCTCACCAGCCCTGGTAGGCTTTCACTGATGCATCGAATCTGACATCACTCAAAGAGGAATTTTTTTAATAGCATGGCTAGGCTTATAGTCTAGCACAGGGATGTCAACTGCTACAAAATTTTTAATAAATCGGTAGCAACTTTAGAAGTAAAACTTGTAGAATAAGGATAATTACTGCAACTCTTTAAAAATGTCACTACGAGACAACTGTAGTCCTAGTAGTGGTTGTTTGTGCCACTAAACCCTACATTCAATCCAATCCAATCCTAGTAGTGGTTGCAATTTGCGGCCCTTATCCATCATGTACTTATCAGAAAATCACGTAACACATTTTGGTCAGCTGTTCTTTAGTTACTGATTTTGAGAGATAACTGTATTGGTTTATTGGAACTACATATATTTGCAGGCTTGTGTGCTCAATTTAGACTTATAAGCCTTTGTCAAATAGAAGGACAGATAGCACAATAAGAAGGATGCTAAGACACATCCACGCTCGGTCAGAGAGGCCCCCGAGACATGCTGTATTGAAATTACATTCATTTGCAGGCTAGTTTGCTCAGTTTAGTCTTATAAACCCTTGTCAGGTAGAAGAACAATTTAGAGAAGGATATCACAAAGAATACATCCATGGTTACGACGGGATTCGAACCCGCCACCTCTACTCTTCACACTGCGTTTGACGGGCGATACCGCTCGGCCAGGGAGGCCCCGAGACTACTGTAATAAAGTCGCATTTAATAAGATACTTTGAATTCTTCTTACGTAGTGATGGAAAAGTACTTAAAACGAAAAATATTTAACTGGAATAACTATCGGTACCACTACAAAATATTTTTTCACGAAATGGAGCATGTTGGTATCATTGCTACGAGAATGTAGACGTGCTTCGTCTGGATCAGACAAGCCAGAGGTGACCAAAAAATGAAAAATGTGATTGTTGTTGTCATCGGCCATTAGGTCAGAGGGGGTGCAATTGTTTTTGCTTTCCAGCGGTGTAATCTATGTCCAAGAATTCTACTTCTTCCACACCCGTTTATAGGGCGGACCCATTCATGCATGCATTCATTCATCCACAGACCGTAATTTTGACCTACCAGAAGAGAACCAGAGGACGAACAATCTCCGATTCAGTACCCTCAGAGGTATAATTTCCCGACAGATTTAACGTTCTCCAGCTACCATTCACTGCACGGGGAGTCTTCGGCCGGCTGGATTCGAACTCCCACTCGCGCGAACGTGAGTCCAATGCCCTGCCAACCCCGAAGGAAGTGGTAAAAAATCAATGAAATTTTTATTTATTTAATTTAAATAATTATTCAATCGTAACAACCACAAGGACCTGCAATGTAAATTTTAGTCACCTGTGGCATCCCTGGTCTGGATTTCAAATCTAAATATAAATGAACCAACTAGTTTCTTCAAAATATATCATAATCATACCTGCCAACTTTTACGCATTTGACGTAAAATTTTATTTCTATATTTAAAGTGGTAGTAAAATGTATGCTTTCTATATATTACTTGCATTTATAAACTTAATTTATAATATTTTTGATGCACCAGTATTTTTAAAAAAAATTAATCATATATATAAATATGAAATACAGCTTATTTTTCTGCTTCTGCCACCACAATGTAGCAAAATTTCAAAATGTTTTTAAACACAATGTATATATGTCACGATGTATGGGATAGGGGCCGCTGCGCGGCCCAGGTGCCCAGTTCTTTTTAAATAAAGCAAGCAAGCTTATTTTTCTGCCTATAATTGCAATTTATGTACCATTTGACTACCACTGGCGAAAATCATCATTGAAAGGATTAAAAGTTGGCAGGTAGGCATAATATTAAATCACTTAAACCACTACTTATTTCATTTTTGAAGAAAAAAAAGACGAACTTTTGAAAGGACGTGTGGGTTAAAGTAGGTTCTTGTTTATAAAAGCGGAACTAAAGCATGAGCATTTTATGCTTTTTTTTTGTGCTTTATTCTCATTGCTTTACTTCATTCATAAGAAAAAGTCATGTTTCCATATGTTCATTCATAGTCCTTGAAAAGTTTTAGTAATGCTAGCAAATTTAAGTTAATGCTATAAGATATTTCTTATTTTAATAGACTACTTCATTACTAAGTAGTTTGGAAGCTGGAATTTACACGCATATACATACCTGCCAACTTTTGCCCATTTGGCATAAAATTTCATTTTTATATTTAAAGTGGTAGTAAATATATGCTATTTTTTCTTCTATAAACTCAATTTTTAAATGGTTCTGATCACCACTATTCTTAAAAAAATTAAGCATGTATATTAATGTGTGTTTCTATCGTGATTGTCAGCTTAAGTTTTTTCAAATACAACGTATTTTTTCTGCTTAAAATTGAAATTTTAATTCCATTTTAATATCACTGGGAAAAATGATAATGGAAGGGATTAAAAGTTGGCAGGTATGACTTTCTTTGGAAAACAATTTTTATTGGTGGTTACTCAGAAATTAAAATAACGACATTTGCTTTATTTACGTTACCGAAAATTTTAATTTTCAGGGCCTCGGGGACTCTGAAGGAATGCCCACATTTAGGCATTCTTACTTATTTTGAAATTAATACCATAATAATAAAACAATGTTATTTCGAACTGAGAATATTAGGGTTAATTCCAAATAACTATTTTGTTAAAGTGTCTCATTTTATTAATAAGTGCTCCTCTTCTTACAGTGTTTGATTGTACAGCGAAAATTCCGTCAGGTGCATTGGCTGGGACTCTTACAGAGTTTGGCGCTTTTGATGAGTGTCTGAATATCATAGTGCACGACAAGCGAGGATTTGAAACATTTAAAGGACAATATTGCACTGTGGAGGCTACGCCAAGGTTAGGTCCTCGTCCTAAATATATCAACTTGACTCAAAGCCACCGAACACCTTACAATGAATCGGTAACCTTTTCTCGTTTTTTTCTTTATATGCATGAAATTTATATCATTGTAGTAAACTCTCCTTTCTATTTAATGTATAAGATCTATTACACAGGAAGATATGCGTTTAAGTGTTGGCTATATATGAGTTTATTTGTATCTCGACCCGCCCTATTTAAGGGCATACGAGAGTAGATACATACATTATACATACATAAAAATCGAAACATTACATCAATAAGTTTAAAAATAAGAATATCTGAAATAATGATCAATAAAAATCTATTAAAGGAAGTGTAAACCCATTAAAATAGTAAAAGGGTTAAGAAACAAAATAGCCCAAAAATCAATTAAATGTTAAAACTTTGCAGAAGCATGAAAAACAGTAATTAAATATTAGAAGTTAAAGTTTGGTATAAAAGTTAAAAAGCAGAACAAATTAAGAATCAAAACAATCAGTTAAAAATTAATAAAAACAATGCAAGTTAAATCCTAGAGAAGTTTAAAATGATGGTAGATAAAAACACAAGACACCAGCAATAGTGTTCGCATGCTCCGAGCAGAGTTAAATGTGGTTCAAAATGCCCTCCAATGTTTGCCTTTATAATTTCTTTAACAATTTTTCTACAGACCAACTTATCAAAGCATTGATGCAAAGTTTGTCCTTCAATATGGTTTCCACGGAGTGTCTGAAAGTGGGGACAGTCAACGCCTCCTACAACTGAAAGCCTCCACACGATTTTTTATAGGTAGTCCGATCAGACCACTGTGAAGGATATTCACTTTCCGAACTAGTCACTTAATACAAAATCTAGTTAAAATAAGAAAGTGGTAGCAAATATATGACTAAAAATTTGTTTTGTTTATGAATATTATTGGTTTGCCTTATTCACTTGTCAACCACTACAGATTCAATTCTCAAATATGTGAGATAAATTTCTCTGAATTATTTTTATAAAAGGTTTTGGGTTCATGCTCACAACTGGTTCACTTTTTAAATAATCTGCGTAGACTACTTATAAAAGACCGTGTGGAGGCCTTTTGATGTAGGAGGTGATGGGACAGTTCATGATCAATTGTTTGATTGTCCCCACAGTATGTACAGTTTGGGTTTTTATTGAAAAATCTATTTTGGTAGTCTCCAAACACCCCGTGTCCAGTAAGTAATTGGTTTAGGTAAAAGTTGGTCTGTAGTCTTTTGGTGGAAGGGTCTTTAAAAAATATATAGGTTTGTCTACCTCTCTCGGAGCTGTGCCACTCTGATTTCCATCAATTTAAGTTGTTGGATTTAATGATTGTTTTGATCTTGGCCTTGGAACTTGGGACCTCTAATTTGATTTGGCTGAGACTGAGGGCTTCCTTGGCTGCCTGATCCGCCTCCCGTTCCCTAGGATACCAATGTGTGCCCTGACCCAGTCTTGGCTATATGTATCTGAATTTTAAGAAAAGTTTTATGCTTCAATTTGTATTTTGTTACCACTTGGTATATTCTTTCCTAACTACCATGCAAGTTGGCAAATATGTAATAAACGCATTTTACCCCTTCTTAGTTTTCCCAGCAATCAAACTGGTTTTGATAAATTAACCTCTTGCACTCCGAGTACTTTTAAACACTTGTTTGAACTAATATAAGCAATAAATCATTTAAAATACATAATACAGTATTTATGAATATTTCTTTAAATATTAGAAATAATGTGGTTATTAATCATTATGGTATAAGTATTTTTTTAATTTTAGAGTGGTGACTGTTAATGGCACCTCAAAGGCGATATTGGAGTGCAAAGGGTTAAATTTCACTTCTTCGGTAATGATTTGTCAGAGTTTGTAATGTTTATCTTTTTTCTCCTTATAAAGTTGCCATTAAAACATAGCTCAAATCTCAGCCCGCTGCGAGGCGTTAACTGATTCGTTGGTGGGTTTTTGAGACAAATAATGGGGGAATGTGTGAAATGGTAGTAGAATAGGGAAAGAAGAGGAACCAAGCACCAAATAGTAAAGTCATGAGCGGAAAACCAATCGGTGGAACATATGATGAAATAGATAAGAAATTTAAACATAATTGAGATTAAACTAAATTAGAATATAGTAATATTTACAGGGGTCAGAATAACAATATTTACGCAGGTGTAATAAGATAGAAAATTATAAAGAAAATATATGCAACTATCTACATATTTACTCGAGATTTTAATCTTATTTTATAACCATCGTTGAATAGCCGACCCAATTTTGGGTTTACAACTATGTTTAACTCCCCAGCCTTAAAATTTTGAACCCAATCCAGAAGACAAAGAAACTCCTGGATCAAGTATTGGGAGAAATTGAACTTTTTGATGAAACTAACCCGCATTTATGTTACATGGTGAGGAAAACCATCAAAAACCTCCCACTGTTAGCCTGACGGCAACGGGACTCTAACCCATGATCCGTCTACCACTGGGGATATTAGGATATTTTACGTCTGGTGTGTGTGAGCCGGTGTGCAGAATTCGTATCGATCAGTCATCGCTGGGATTGGAACCCGGTTCGCCGCATTGGAGGTTCAACTCGAGATCGATAAAAAAAAATCTGTCCAACACGGAGAAAAGGTCTTACAAGCGGTAGATTGATAAATACTTTGCCTGCGTTTAATTAAATCCCCGGATTTTCTAGTAGCTTTTATTTTTATATTTAAAATTGTAGCAAAATTTATGTTTGTCCATTTAATTATTGACTTCATAAAATTAATTTACTATATTTTGACCACCACTTTATAAAAATTAATTATGTATATATCTACAGAGATGCCACCTTGCTCCGAACAGCAAATATATATTTTAAAGTGATAGTTTATCAATTGTGATTCTTGGTTTAATAAATTTAATTTAGTAGATTTTTATCCACCACTATTTCTAAATGATTCGTAGGCTTATATAATTCACCACTCTATAGTACTTACGTCATGCTATACCTTTTAAAAAGCAAGCAAAAATAGTCAATTATTTGCAGAATTTACTTTGTAGTTTTTTACCGGTTTTTTTTAAAATTATTTTTGCTTATCTGGAGCAGTTGGCATCTCTGAAGTATATTATAAGTATAATTTCCCACTTTATTTTTGGCGAGTATTTTAAAAATTAATATTGATGGTGTTACCTGAACACCTTGTATAGTCATCTTTTATAACCCATCGGACAATGACCGGGTAATAATAGCGAGCGATTCTTCAGGACTTTCAGAAAGATTTTTATATTTAAGTAAGGTGCAGAGATGGCAATTTGCTCCACTTCGTAGAAAAATAATAGCAAAACTTACGTTTAAATGAATAATTTCTGTTTGTGCTAAGTTGTTTCCCTTTTCTACTACATGTTAAAAATTACTTTAAATAATTCGAAACTTAGTCTCACGATAAGTTGCTTAAAGTTAAAAGCTAAGTTAAACAAATTTTTATGTAAATTTAAATTTTTAATTATCCACCAGTTTAATAAAGATGCAGCAAAAGTTATAAGTTTCGTTTCAATCTTGAATCAAAATATTTTACTCATAAAGTGTATCAACTACAGTCTAGAGCAGATGGAAACAGCATAAACAAAATTATAAGATCTGAATTTTCATACGAACTCTTAATATTTATTTTATTAATTATATAAAAACTTTTCAATAGATTTGTTAATTGATTTAAAATACTCATATTAATTTTGCAACTTCAACCCTCAACTTTTAATTTACTAAGCAAAGTATTTGACGCCCAGGTGCCCAGTTTTAATAAATAAAGGAAGGTAAAGGAATCAGCAAATTTTATTGAAAATTAACCGCTACCATAAAATAAACCAAACATGCATTTTAATGCATTAAGAATTTTAGAAAAAAAGTATTTTTAACTGTAATTGATTTTGCAATTCTATTCTAGAAAAACCAAAGAAACAGTTGGTAGGAATTCTATGGTATAACAGGGCTAAGAATAACACGAAATTACACTGGAAACTTTTTTTTCAATTTTTTATTTTTTTTTTTTAATTTGCATGAGATTTTTCGCTCATTTCAAATTTGTAATCAGTTTCTCTCTACAAGTTACAATTTTAATGCAATCTAATAATTTATTACTGACCAGGATATTTAAAATTCTAGCGAATACTAAGTGTTCACTCAAGCGAATACTAAGTGTCCCCACTTCTCTGCTACGAAGGGAGTGATGGGAAGGTGATAATACATTTCAGTTGTGAAACGATACGATAAGATCAAAGGACCAGACAAGTGCATACTCGTACATGTATATAAACCAATACGACCTTTATAAACCTTACATTGCGACAAAAATTAGTAACTGAAAATATCAGTTTGAAAAAGTTATTTAGCTTCCCGAAAGAAACTAATTTCAGATTTTTAAATTCCCGAATTCGGTGTAAATGCAATAGGTATAAATGCAACAAAAAATTATATTTGTTGCAATTTTTTTTCTCCGCACAAAATTTGCAACAACAAAAATTCCCTTAAAATTTTAAAAAATAAAGTGGAAATTTTATAAACTTATAACCTTTTCTTTGTATCGTAAAAAAAATTGAAAAAATTCATTTGTTTTATTTTAATACGCTAAAATTAGCCCTATGTGATAAAACTGAAATTGTTTTTTAGATTATGGAAGAACTGCGATCTGTGATTCTTGCTTTTTACCAACTAACCGTGAGATCTGGTGTTTGTGTACCATCTAGTTGCAGCAAAGCAGATATACATGCAGTTGTATCAGAAGGTAAGATTTCTTGTTTCTCTTTTTCATCTTTTGCTCATTTCAATCAATCGCAGTCGTCAAATATTTATTTTTGATCATTTTTTTTTCTAAATTTCGTTTTTAATTCAAATTATTTACGCGATCAATTTAATATTCCCGTATTCAGTCACAATTAAATTCTTAGTTGTGCTTACGGCACCTAATTTTCGATATTTACATGCGAACTTAATTTAAATATTTTTTTTTTAAGAGCAATCGAGATTTTGTCTCATTCGTTTTCTCCTGTTTTTGGTCTCGTAGTGCAGTGTTCCCCAACCTTTTTATCACCGCGAACCTGTCAACGTTTGATAATTTTACTGCTGCCCGCTGGGGGGACGGACGCTGATTGCTGATATTTCATATTATTTTTATTTATTAACTTTAATTTAATTGTAGTTAAACAAGCCTTCAAAATAAAATACAGTTACACCAAAAAATAAATGTAGAGTGCTTTAACATTTTAACTTTCTAGAACGTTAAATCAATGAGAACTTGTTTCTTTGCAATGAGACGGTTCCATCTGGGGGTAATCGGAGAAAATGATACATTACAAACATTAAGAAATTTATGTCACTACCTTCGGAGCCCCCTTTTTTTAAAATAAATAAAATCTTAATGTAACATAGATATTTTAAATTAGGGGTATAAACCTAGGAATTTAAGTTCAGTTTCAATGAAATGGGTACACCCAACGCCTCCTATAACTGAAAGCCTCCACACGGTTTTTTATAGGTAGTCCGTTCAGACCACTGTTAAGGATATCCACTTACCGAACGAGTCATTTAATACAGAATATAGTTAAAATAAGAAAGTGGTAGTAAATATATGACTAAAAATTTATTTATTTATGAATATTACTGGTTTGCCTTATTCACTTGTCAACCACTACAGATTCAATTCTCAAATATATAAGATAAATTTCTCTCAATTACCTTTATAAAAGGTTTTGGGTTCATGCGCACAACTGGTTCACTTTTTAAACAGTCTGCGCGGACTACTTATAAAAGACCGTGTGGAGGCTTCTTGATGTAGGAGGTGATGGTACACCCCGGTCCGAGGACCGGGGGTTGGGGAACACTGCCGTAGTGGACTGATCGTAAAGACACGGTTTTCAGTCGAACACCGAAGTCAAGCATCACTGGCTGCGGTCAATTAGTGGGTGGATGACCACTTTGATCAGCCTGCGAGTTAAAAAAAAAAGTAAATTATCTAGTGTGAATATGGTTACCAAAAAAAAAAAAATTCAATAATAAGATTTTGAAATTAATTTAGAAACATGGAATATGAAGAATGAAATTCTTTCATTGTTTAATCAATAACAGTTTTAAAATTACGTTATATGATAAGCAGTTGAATTCGCATGCCTGCAGCTTTTAGTTTATTACTTTTTAAAAACTGCTTTAAAATCAAATTGAATAAAATAACTGAATTATGGTTTTTAAAAAAGAATCGTTATAAAATGTGAGAATGGTTTTTGAAGAAAAATAACTAATAAATCTTGAATTTGGTTATTTTAGTTGGACTTTTAAAGTTCAATGAAATCAGCATTTGTATTGTTTACAATCATTTGTAAATGCATATCATTTTAATAATTTTTTCAATTGAAAAAAAATATAATCGGAAAATTATTATATAAAAATATATATATATATTTCAAAATTGCTATTTCGTTTTTATTGGCATAAATCATTTAATAACAACCAAATTATTAAAAAATAATTGATTATTGGTTAAATACAAACCTATTACAGGTTTCAAAAATTATTACTGGTTAAAAATAAGTACCTAACTTAACCCTTTCGCGCCGACTGTCACAAATACGTGACAGCAAAAAACCGTATCAATCAGGGTGAAAAGATAAAACTGGTAATCAAAGTAATTCTTTAGCAGTTTATTTGTGGGCGGAGTTATAATTGTTTGATTTATTTAATTCACCATTACTTTGTTCAAAATAAAACTATTTAGTTATACTTTGAATTAACATTGATTATATATATGATTAAACTAACAATAATTAAA